TGGCGACCCTCTGGTTCTTTCGTGTATCCCAGGAGGTGGCCAGGAAAAAGAAACCATGGTTCTAACCTCCCAATATTCTTGGTTCTACCGACCTCCATATTCTCCTGGTTTTCCTGGTTCTAACCTGAAAAAGAATCCTTAAAAAAGGGCGCTCGTGTTTCATCGACATGACGTCCTGCCGCAGAAGAAGCCGCCGAAGCGCGGGAGATGCCAGGGCCATGTTCGCATCCACGGACGTTGGCGCGTGAGTCAGGACAAGCGGTCGACAGGACGAGAGGACCAGCGAGACAGGCGAGTTTCATGGGGTGTAAGTATAACAACCTACAAGCCATCGTCTGGCCGCTTGGAAGCTCGTTAAAGGCTCATGTTCAGTGGCCCGTGACTGGGCATCTGATCAGACGCTCGAGGCTTTTCCAGGGAAATTCCAGTTCATGATGTGAGTCTGGGATATGTCCCATATTCGAGTGTTGACTCGACTCTGTAAGTGGTCAAAGTTAAAAACCAAAGCTGGAGGTCGTGGGGTGGATGTACTTCGGAACTGGAACGTGGTGCGCCCCAGCATGTGACAGATAGATCATATGGCAAGGCTGCTGGTGTGTCTGCAGGCGAAGCCAAATCTCTGGTAATGCTGTCGTGTAGTCTCAGCCAAAGGACATGTTTGAAGAGCCAACCACCATTGATCTTTGGCTGAGCATGCTCTAAACCGGTTATTGATCATGTCATGAAGAGCCAAATGTAATGATCTTTGTTGATTTGGTCGGCATGGCTTGCTGAGCATGCAGGCTGCTTGCGGACAGTCAAGCCAACCCGTCGCGTGAGTCCATCCCTTTTTGGTCACCACTCTTGCAACACCAAAAGCTGACTTGTGGGGATTGGCTGATCAGCTCGGATCTTTGGAACCTCTTCGGTGCGAGGAATTTCAGGGTCAGGTGCAGGAAGGCCGGACCAAATACATTCAATCTACGACACTCTCCCTAGACTTCCAAGACCCTTAAAACCATGGTTGACCCGGTTTTGTGGAGGAAAATCCTTAAGTCGGTTCGGGATTCGGTCCATTACATGATAAGCCGGTTTTGGAAGCCAAAGGGGCTTTGGGAACGAACTCAAAGCCCATGATGGGCTTTGAATGATTCACCACTCTCGGATTGGGTGTGCCAAATGGTGCTAAACTTGGTGTGAACGGTGGGCTCTCAGCCCACCGATGTCTGATTGCCCCAGGCCCCAGGCCGCTACGCAAGAAGAGAGCTATCCTCATAGCTCGTAGCAAGCCTCTTAGGTGGGTTTGTTGGCTCTTCCTATCATTGACATGCAAAAGTGCCAAGTCCAAGTCCTGAACTAAAGACCTGGCAGACTGGTATAGATGAGGCTTTGGGGGATCTTTATTTGGATCCGCTGTGTCCTGCGAATTGCGTCTCTTCGGCGTCTCTCAAAGTTGGGGATGAGAGCAGTAAGTAAGCAACCCCCAACAAAGGGAATGGGTTAGTATACATTGTTTGTTAAGTACATAATGTACATATGGGAATCTACACTGCTGGCATGAATTCTGCATGATCATGTATCACTCCAAAAGGTAGCAAGATTCCCGAATTTCCGATGCTCTGGTCTGTCTGAAGGCATGGTTCATGTCTCAAGAATCCCTACCTCCTTTTCAGCTGTCACAATTACCAGTGAACTACCCAACCAGGAGGCCGGTCCTACCTGGAAGGAAGCCTGTACCATGCTGTACCTGGTCCCCTTCTCTGCGACCCAACAACAACAGCTCTCCGAGCAGCGGAGCTGAGCTCCTTCCAAACGCACGAAGCGAGTCGCTGACATCGAAGTGGATGGGCACCCCCTTGGTAAGTCTGTCGTCCTTTCGGTGTCATGTCTAACTTCGCCATGTGTTTCCCCTCAAACAAACGAGACAGCTCACCGTTTCAAGGTGACCATTCATCCTGGATTTGACCCCAAAACCCCCACGAATCTCCCAAAAAGGGGCACCCCAAAACCCCCTGCTTCACTTCTCCACGTGGGTCACGCCGCAACTTCTGGCTCCCGGACGAAGCGATCGGCCTCGCGGGCGTCCGCCTGGGATCGCACGAGTAGGGAAGGGAAAGGCCGACCTTTGGACTCCCAAGGAAAAGGATCAGTGAAGTATATGGCTAAGTTAGTTAGTGGTGCCTGGGTTAGTTAGCTAGTTATAGTTAGTGGCCGGGTCGTATTTGTGGATGTATATGGCTCCAGGCGTTCGTTTTTCGCCGCTGACCAGTGAGACCGTGCGGGGTGAGGTCGGAAGTGTGGCTTTCGTCTCAGACAGCCCAAGTAGCCCAAGTCGGGTGATCCAAGAGCCAGGTGACACATGGGGATGTTGGAGTAATGGTGTCACCAAAGGCGCTTCCAAGCAGTGTCTGGTGACCTATAAGCAGTGTGGGGTTGTCCATTGGTAACCCCGAACGGAAGCAGCTGGTCTATGATAATCTACCAGCTTCTTCAAAGTGACCTTTTGAAGGTTCCTAAGTGACCCTTAGGAAGCTTAAGTGACCTCAAACCAGGTTATCAAAAGGTCGCTTTGAAGAGCCAGGTATGTTGATATTACATATACATACCAGGACCGAAAACCGCTCGCCTGGTGGTTGGACAATTAGTGTTCCTCACCTCTGGTCGAGGTGGACATAGACACCTCGAACGGAGGGTCCTGGTATAGTCTATGGCGTTTGTCTTCGGAACCAGCCAGCGACATCGTGGTAGCCATCCTCTGGGTACCTTCAGCTTAGGGTGTCCGGATCTCACAAAGCAAAATAGGGCCGAAACGATCCTGCACTACTTGGCGCGCCAAAGAAGAGGGAGGTCTTGCATCTCAGCTTGTCTGACAATGTCTGACATCATCTCAGATGTCAGATGGGGTAGTGTAAAAAAGAAACGTATCAATTGCACTGTCCCGAAGTCACGTTATCCTTTTTTGCTCTTATCGTTTTCTCAGGCGGTGGGCTCTCTGTACTAGAAATGTGAATGTGTCAGCTTTCTGTGGTTATGAAAGCATCCTCGTTCGAAGGTCAACAAACGTCAATGTCCTTTCATTTTGCTTTCATGTCCTTTCATGTTCCTTTCATGTTGCATTCATGTCCTTTCATGCTCCTTTCATGTTGCATTCATGTCCTTTCATGTTCCTGTCATGTTGCATTCATGTCCCTTCATGTTACTTTCGTGTTGCATTAATGTCCTTTCATGTTACTTTCGTGTTGCATTCAGTTCCTTTCAATTTCCTTCAAAAGGTGATGTGCTCAAAGCGGTCATGTCGGTATCCTCCCAAGCGCTTGCATGTTTTCAATATGTATTTATCGTGTTTTGATGTTTTTTGTTATTGTTTTGTTATCGTTTTGGAGGCCTGTGCAGGTTGCCATCTTGAAGGTTCATGAACGCGTACATGTATAAGCTCGTGGGTCAGCGTAATGTTAAGGGGCAGGCCAATGGCCTGCCCCTACTAAAATGCCAGGCGCAGAAGTGTTACACGAAGGCCCAGATGTCTTGTTCCAGGAGTGCCGAGTGTTCTCGGTTGGACCCCCTGCCACCTTCCCCGTTTCAACCGCACCACGTGGGCGGGTTCCGCTCGCTTCATGGAACAGAACGCGCCTCGTTCCGAAGGAGTCGGAGAATCTCCTCGCTCCGATGCGGCGGTTTCAGCCGCAGCTGGGAAGAGACATGGGGAGACCTATACAACCCAAGGTGCGAGATGTTCATCCAAATCATCTACCACCGAGTTTTTGCTTCACATCTCACTGTATTAGAACCCCCAAACCCGCCAGGCACTACCAGGCATTGCCAGGTCACGTGACGGACCTCAACGAATCACGAAACAAGACCTGGCAACGACGACCGGGTGGTCTCTAGACGTCCAGTGATCGTGTGGAATATTGCGGGATGCGTTCCGATGGCTCAGACATTGGATGTGCAGGACATGTGGTTCCAAAGACTCCTTCCACGGTCCACGACTGTCCGGACTTGAACAAAGCCAATGAGCAGCACGTGGTTGGCCACTGGCTTGTCCTTTTAGACGTCCATCGAATCCATCGGGTTTCGGGTTCCAGCAGCACCACGATCTCGGTCGGTCGGTCGCATCTCTCAACTCGAAGGGCGTCACAACAACACTGCATGGCATGGCGAACCGAAGGGGTTGGCTCGTTCGAGCCGAAGGGAGTTGACCTGTCGAGGAACGAATGGTCCGGATCCGAAGAGAAGAGTGGCTCGTGTGGTTCTTGGGATCCGTCCCTCAGATCTCAAGAGCCGAAAAGAAGAGCTCGAGCCGAGCGGATGGGCGACATGGACGAAGCTGGCAAACAACCACAGTTTGACCAAAGAACGTGTTGTGAAGAGCAACACCCCCTGTAGTCTTCTGAGATCATAAAAAACATATGTTGACCATGTTTGACCTGGTTTTGTAGTGTCAAATCCTTATGTAAACAATGGTTGTTGGGTAGAGGATTATTGAATCAATGGTAATGGTGCTCAGTCAAAGTCCTTGGCACCTGGTGTTTTTTCCCCTGCATCGATGAGCCCCTGGTCCAGGGCCAGACTGGCCGAGAAGACTCGAGAGTTGCCGCGGCTTCCGCGGCTTCGTGCCCCCGCCGCGGCTTCCGGGGGCGCGGCACGCGGCGGAATGCGAGCACGCTCCTTGAAGAGACCTGATGTCTTGGGCTCCGCCTCCTTGAGACACAGCTGGGCCAAGCCTGGAGTCGACAGATGCGACGTGGGGGTGAAGGAGCTGGTGCTTTGGAGAAGAGAGATGGTTTGGGAAAGAGTTGGGCGACTTCAAGAGTGGACTTCACAGGTTTAAGGAGGCCCCTAGAGGAGCAGAAAGGAACATAAAGCCTTTTACGTTTTGGGAATTTGCTCCTGAAATTGAGTGGTTTTGCTGAATACTGCTAAACCAGCAGACAAGAGCCTCTGGGCGCTTGGTAGTGTTCAAAGCTTCTGTTAGGACCGCATGTCACCAGTGCATGTCACCTTGTTTCTGAAGGCTCTTCGGCTGCCGTCTCCCACATTTGTGGAGACACTCGGTCTCGGAGTGAAACGGACCAATTGGGACACCGAGTTCACACTCAGCACCACTGTGGTTCATTCGGCTCGTCCTCTTCGGCCCCTTGCTGTGGGGGGACGTCAGTGCTGGCACCATCCTGAGTCTCCAAAAGCCGGCGGTGCAAGTGGTCTGACTGCGTGAGGACTGCTGAAGGGTTTTGGATGGTTTTGGGAGGAGGAGTTCGTGAAACCAAGAGCCGCTCGCATCCGCTCGCCATGTTGCTGCTGAAAACATCCCAGAAATGGCCGCCCACATTCTCAGTTTGTCACAGTCAAGACGTCTTTCTTAGTTGTGTCAAAGACGTTGCAGCAGTTTCAGCCAACACATGTGAACAGATTCAGTCATAGTTAGTAGGCGTGCTTCTAACCAACACACGGTGGCGAGCCGCATTCGAAGAATATGGAGAATGAAAAAAGGCTCCAGAACTGAAATTCAACCCCCAGAACTTCTTTTACTGTAATGAACATGTTCCTGGACCTGGAAAAGGGATGTCCTGTCAGTCCCTTAGTCGTGGGCTGGGGCGAAACCAGCCAGGTGACCCCTTTGAAGGTTGTATATGTTTGTAGACGAGCATGGGATTTTGAGGTGTTCCGACGTGTTCCGCTACGTCTGATCCATGTTCCGCGACATCTTCAAAAGAACAAACATTTAATGGTTCTTCTTGATCAGCCCGCAAATGGGAGAACCACTGCAAATCCTCACTCGAAATTGGACTACTTCGATGCTGAGAAAACCAACCTCGGTTTCCAATGTGTGAAGCTTTCACCCTTTTTTCCACAAGACCGAAAGGCCTCGTCCTCGAGGCCTCGATCAAAACCAAACGCCTACGTTGAGTGAGACGGCTTCTTGCCGTGAGTTCAGACTGAGGTCGAGGTTTGCTTGGCGGATCAATTCCGGAGCTTGGGGAACTCCAAGACACCCCAGCTTGGCCTCTCCCCAACCAGCCGAATCGGCCACCGACGTCGCTGTTCGGCGCTGTTCGGCGTCGGGTCGGTGGAGCCCCAAGGGTCGAAGTCGCCCTCGCCGTAGAAGAGCGGATCGCCCAGATCCACCTCGGGCATCAAGCAGCTGATGACCTCGCAGAGGTGGAAGATGGAGTCGGTTGGGCTCTAGCGATACCCAAACACAATGGTCCTGGTATGTCCTGGTGGTCAATGGCATGTGCATGATTGCGGCAGGCGTGGTGGCAATAGGTGAATAGCGCAAGATCCAAAGATGTTGTTGAAGCTTGCCAAAGCAAGTAACACCAACAGCATCCCAAAAAATACAGCCAAATTGGAAGCTCCACGACGCCAAACGGAATGCTGAGACTTGCATCTCACGTATGATGCATTCATTCAAAACGACCTGCAGACTCGGATGTTTCGTGCCATCGACCTATCACATCTTCCAAACCAACCCCCCCTTAGGACGGTCTCCGGATCTCGAGAAGCAAGCTCGGCCGTTGGGTGTTTTTTCATCGGCCAGGGACGAGGTCCATGTTAGACATGATTGGACCTCTGGTTAGCTTGGGCACGGAATCGGTCTCTTTTTTCTTCCTTTCGCAGGGTGAGGCAGGACTAGCAAGTACACAAACGACTTCTGATTCAACTCCCTCATTGCCCACGGACCCAGATCTCGTGACCAGAGACCTGGGGGGAAATTCAACGAGAAATCTCTCGATGAACCAATAATTACCTGAGCACCTTCAGCCTGACACCCCCACTTCTTTCCTAGCTCCAAAGATCTGCAAACAAACGATCAAAACACTTGACCAGCCACCAGAGAACACAGAGAACTTAATTGGATGCAACACCAACATCACCTACCACCAGGCACAACTCCGCTTTTCTTCCCCACCTCGCCTCGTCGGGGTCCTCCTCCGCGCTTAGGGTGAAGATGATCTTTCGTTGCCCCCGGAAGAGCACAGTGAACCTGCGAAGCCAACGGTGGGAGGTTGTCAGGATCTGGACGTAGAGACGTATCTATGACGGGTGAGGGGACTATTCAAAAGAAGGGATTCAAAGCATACTGAGACGACGTAGATATGAAAGCGCCGTGGGGGCAGGGGGTCCCATCGTGTTTGAGACGTTTTGGCTGCATGGCTAAAGGACAAAAAACATCTAGCTTGGCTTGGCCAGGGAGAAAACAAATCCCTTACCTGTTGAGGCACAAAGGCTGTGCATGTGCGCCATTGAGGAAATCGAGCGTATACTTCCCAGCGGTGAGATCAGTGCTTGACGAAATACAAGATACGAGGGACGCCATCAAAACAAAAAAGAATCAAATCAAACAACAGGAAGTGGTTCTTCTACCCCATGACCATCCCAAAATCCATGACATTCCACCGAACTGAAACGCCACCCATCGCCTGTGGTGCTCCACCTCCGCGTTCTTCCTCGCCAAACGGCGTGCCTCCGCCGACCTGAAGGCACCGGCCGGAGACGTCGATCCCTCTCCGGCCGATCTCGAACTTGGAGAGGGATTCGCCGAAGCAAACCATTCCAGTCCATGGAAATCCGAACAGAAATGAGACTGCTGATGGACGGTCCATGGAAGGCAGAAACCCCACGTCGTCCACTGAGTCTGTATGGATCGAATGTGAGGAGATCGAATTCATGGAAGCGCCCCTGAGCGGCGCCGAAATCTGAAGCGAAAGAGCTTTCGATGGCGTGATCCAAATGCTTGGTGATCCAAATAGATCCAAATGGCGTGTTGTGGGTGGCAAAAAGGGTGTCTATGAGCAAACCTAGCGAACCTGGCCTGAAATGTCGTGGTGTGGTCGTCGAGACATGTGTTGAAATGACCAGGTTGTTCTCTCATTCCACTGTCATTGCTACGTGGCTGCTTCACCTGGCCACCCCATCATATCATGGCTTTTGGGGCTTTTGGGCATCGAAAAACCGCTGCATCGTCCACCGCGCCGGGATCACCGGTGCGCTCCGGGCTCAGACCATGGGAGGATCCGAAGCGGAACGTCCCGCGGTCGCGCGAAGGGAGCTGGAAAAGCTTTTGTTCCCGTGCAGTTGAGTAGGAATTAGGAGGATGTTCGACCCCGAATCCGCAAAGGTCCGGAGCCCGAACGCCTGTGTTAGACGTCGAAAGGATCGGAACGCGGCGATGTGGCACGAAGAACGGAGCGTCGGTCTGGGTGGTTGGAAGAACCGTCTGACGACCCGGATGAGTCACGAACCGCCAAGTCACTCCACGGTCCACGTCCCGTAGATCACGATCCTCAGATGGTGAAATCACTTCCCGACACGACTGGGACTGGCATATTATATTGAACAGCACTGCAGGTCCACCACTCCAAGGTGTCTGGGAGTCTGGCACATGGTTATGCCCCCAAAAAAAGGAAGCAGCACTGTGGCGTTGGACCGGACGGCCATCCCATTCTCTGCCCGACGTCTCAGGGGTTGGACCCGAGCTCTGGGCGTCCCGAAGCAAAGCCTGTTTTGTTGCTTCTCGGGCCCGGATTCTTAGGGTAGAATCAAAGATTTAATGATTTACCAGACTCTCTCTTTTATCAGACTCTCTTTTATGATTTAATGATTCTTAGGGTAATGATTTACTCATCTTTTACCAGACTGCCAGACTCTACGCAATGCGCCTTGAAATTCACTTCCTATACCCGCAATTGGTCATTGCCAGAAGCCCAGGTCTGTCAGAAAAGTGGCAAGTAGAACCATTGACACATGGCCGTGGCTCAGGAATCAGCCTCCCAACACCCACCCTGGTGCAAAGCGAAATTCCAAACCTATGGAACGGGTCAAACCTGTTTTAGATGTTGACACGACAAGATGTTGTCTATATGGACCCCCATCTTTTCAGGACATCATGGGGTCTGTGTCATCTGCTCTGAAATCACACGGTAACCTCACGTGATCACTGTTGCAGTTGCCATCCCCCCAGATCGCCCGCCCGTGCAGCACCAACTGCACGAGCCCAATCGCCCAGGTACATGTTCACGATCCACATCAAGCCCAAGAAAATTCCCAGGATCGAAGCGCCAATCGCCTCACCGAACGGCGCAGCGCGATGGCGGGCGCAGCGGGCGCAGTGCCAGCGGTTTGGGTCCTTCTTAGGTTAGGAAGATCTCAGCGATGCATCCAAAAGAGGTGCGTTCGTTCTAGGTCATGAAACACTTCACTCCCACGAAAAAAATGAAGAATTGCTAGGGAGCTCTCAACCTAGAATAGAAGTGCAGTGTGTGGCTTTGACCCACATCCCTTTTGATCAAATAGCCGCGCCAGTTGTCGAAAGAATGACCGTGTCTGACAGTCCACCCGGGAAGGATTCAGATGCATATTTAATCTTCGGAGGGACCGAGGGAAAGGCGAATCCAAGTGCCATGCCCACCAGGGTTGACATAAGGCACTCAGCTTCTTGCTGTGTTGAAGTCAGGGTGGTCTAGCCTCACTCTATTCTCTATTCCTTCATTCCATCAAGACAAAAGAATTGAACACATCCTCCCCGACTCACTGAGCAATCAGAGACTCCGGTCTACCTTCAGATCGAGCAGAGTCTAAAACGGCCTCCCCCTATTCTTTTGAATGTCTTCTCCGACTTCAACATCCCGCAATATGTCCAAGGCACACCCACCAGCAGTGGCAAATGTGCGCCACTCACTTCTTGATCACTGCCCAGTGCCCGGCAAAGCGGCTGCTGCACACTCGCGCACAAAGTGCCCATCTGCCCGACGTGGCTTTATGTTCGGCACGATAGGGCGGAGTTCTTTCCTTTTAGATGTTAGACCACCAGCCATCGAAAATATTACTTTTTCATACTTTTTCCCATCAAAAGGGTGGTCAAATGAGTGCTGTTTTGGCGAAAAGAAGACAGGACTTAAACTCTACAGGTCACCAATGGTTCGGCCTAGGGCCTAGGCATGCTTCCCAACAGCCGAGACCTGGCAGAAAAAGGGTCATGTAGACTGTTGATGAAGAAACCGACATGGATTGTAGTAAAGCCTCTTCAGGCTGGGGGGCAGTGAAATATAAACCCCTATGGAACTATGGATCCACTGCCTGCTCAGGTTCGGTGTGACTGGGCCCCACCCTGGCGCCTACATTACAAAATCGTCTCCTTCCTCACCGTACCGACCTGGTTCGGTACGTGAATCCATCGGGATCAACGGGAAGACAGTACCAGGCTTCGTCGGCTTCGTCGTTCCGAGAAAGGTTGCGACCGTGGGAGGTTCGAACCGAGGTTCTCCCTGCCTTGCTCACCGCAGGGGTGCAGCTCATGTCCATGAGACCACTACCTCAGGTGAGCGCGGCTCGAGCCATGCCCTGGTCCCGTCCGCCCGTTTGGCACGCTGGAATCGTCGCTCCACTCGCTCGCGGACGGTGACCGGTGGATGGCTCGACCCAACTGGCTCTCCACCCACCCCGTCGACCTGAACCGATGCCAACCTCGTGGGCCACGAGGTGGGCCAGGAGGGCACCATACGGCCCGGTGCGACGCGGCTTCCGCGCCACGACGATGCGGATGTGACGACGAGGTCACAGGCCCGCGGGAGCGACGATGGTCGAGTGGGCTCGGAGATGTCGGGCAGCCATGGCGAGGCAGCTCAGCAAGGCAGCTTCGAAGTGAGCTTAGTGAGGGCTTTAGATAGAGGGAAGTTGGACATGGCAAGGACAACTTGATCAAGAACTGGTCGAAGTTTGATGGTGAAGAAAAGCACTCGAAAAACATCGAAAAGCGTGGCTTTTTAAGGTGACTGTTTGTTCTCCTCGCTCCTGGTGGCAAAGTCCGTGGTTGTATGGTTGTCGGTCACATCACCCCGCCCTTTTTTGGTGAAGAAATGCAAGCCTACCAGACCACTCAGGATCTTCTAGTGGCCCATGACCAAAGACATCGTCCGGAGACCACGTTTCGTTTCACGGACCAATCACCCGTTTCGCCAGAGATTGATTTTTGGAAAGAATACAGTCAATAGAGGTTATCTGCATGATTTTTTCATATTCCCTAGGGCTCCAACTACCCGTTTCGAAGGCGGTTGGGGTGGGTGCCAGGGGGATCTAACTTACCTTCTATAAGGATATTATAGTTGGAGCCCTACAGATTTGGTGGGGAAATGAATCCCCCAAGAAACTTTAAAGGTTCTCCACTGGCGCATTCCTGGTACACTCCACTCGGTCCACTCCCATAGTTCCAATGCACATGGACACTGCGCTTGTGCATTGTGCGGCAGCCGCTGGAGAAAGTTGGGACTGACCCTTTTCCAGGACAGCAGTTGAGTTCTCGACACAAACAACCTACCCCCTTACGACCATGATCTAGTCTTACTACTGACTGTCCAATCCCACTTGACCAACCACAAAACGCAGCTGTTTCCCAGGGATCCAATTACTTCCTCAGAAGGTCTTTGGACCCCCTCCAAGTCCCACCATCTCAGAAGCTACAACTGGAGCCCAGTAAGCCCTCACCTTCCTGCATCCCGGTGGCAGGTGCATCCATTCACACCACAGGTGGCGACACCCGTACTGCCCGCAGCACAGAGATCGGCGGAACAGTCCAACTTCCAGGTGACCTCCGTCGGGAAACACCATCGGAACAACCCAGATGGTTGTCCGGTTTTCGACGTCCGGTCCCTCCACGCGACCGTGACCCGTTCCAAACCGGCAGCCGGGAGCCCGTTTCTCGGGTCGTCAGGGACGACGTCGATCGGGCGGTGTGACTTCGGACCTCGGAGGCCTTCAAGGCTCCGGACCATCGACAGGTGGACCGAAGGAGGGAGTTCGGGTAGGAAAAAGAGCCAGTTTTTTTGGGCCAAAACGTGATCCAAAACGTGCGAAATGAACATGTGTTGGCGTTCTGGCTCCGTGGATCACCGTTTGAAAACCAGGCTGACCCTGTCGATGTGTCCCGGGACACGGGCGAGGCTTCAGCCAGTTTGCAGCCTTGCGTCCTTTTTCGACCCCTGGAGAATCACCTCCTGAGAGGCGGTTCTTCCTCCACAACCTTCACTCTTCAGACTTCATGAGATCCTCCGGCTCAAAAGCTCCAAGATGGTGCCCAACAAACCCCAGTTTTGGGGGGTGAAGCTTGGTTTTTTGACCAATTTGATCCACTCAAGGACTCAACTGATTCTGAGACAAGAATAGAAAGAAGTTACACAAGAAGGATGCAGCTTCTCTGAAGTGAGACGATCAAGCTTTGGTCTTATTGGCCGCCCGCATTTTTGTAGATGGATCCAGCTGGCCCAGGTGGACGTCTTCTTTGTTGCATTCAGAAGCTGCTTTTTCAAGTCGGCTCCGTCTTCCTATTAGGTCTGACCGTATCACCAACAGGTCTGGGAAAAGGCGTTTCTAAGTGGTCAGCTGCTTCGTGGTAAGTACACAGGTGTTTCACTCCGTGCCGCAAACTGGAAATCCGCAACTTCTCTGGTTTTTGACCCACAAGAACTTGGAGACAGTCTTCCAGTTCCAAAATGCCTGGTCAAAGAACCTCTTCCATACCACCAGTTTCCGAAAAGCCTCGTTCAGGGTGACACCTCTGTCCAACTCTAACCCCCCCACCAAGCCACTGAATAGGCGATGGGGCAGGCAATGAAGACGTAGAAGGACCTCAACAAACACTCGCTCAAAGGAGCGGAGCTCTGCTGCTCTGCTGATGCTCTGCTTCACTGGCCACCGGAATAGTCAGGTGGTTTGGTGTTTCGTCCGGCTGTTGAGATCCTCCAGGGTGTGAGTTCACTCAAAAAGAAGGTATAGATAAGCGCTAGGCATACTTAGATGGCTTTTGTTGAGGTCACTCCAAAAAGTTATGCGTACACTACAGGGCTCTCGAAACAGTCCCCAACACCTCAAAACCAAGGGGCCGCCGGTCTGAGGCGAGCGAAACATCGCAACCAAGTATATACCCTATGCCTCCAAGTACCTTCTGAGAAGGTGTTTGGGGTGGGTGCCAGGAGGGTCCAAATACCTTCTGAGGAGGTACTTGGAGGTGTAGGGATAGTCAAAAAAGAGATTCTCATGGAGAAGAGAATCCCTCAGTTGGCTGGAAAATGGAGGTTAACCATGTTCAACCTGTTCGTGTTTAGTGGGGTAACCAATTCCAAAACAAGTTAAAGGACATCCACTGATTGGGTAGGTGGAGGAGAGATTCCCTCGGTCAAAACCTTTTTGGGGGGGGCAAAACGCCTTCGTCCCCACTCAAAGGGGTGATGACGGGCAATCTACAGCGGTGTCAGAGGGGTGATGGGGTGATGATGGCGCAAAGCCCTACAGGTCTGTTAGACGGGATCCATATAAGCCAACGCACTTGGGGACTGTGCCATCTACCAGTACCACCTCTATCCACTTTTTGAGGCTTGCCATCCTTTGCATATCTTTGCATATCGGTTTGGTGACCAGGTGTCCTCATCTCTATCTCCATCCATCCTGCCCAGCGGCCAAAGTCCATTGAGACCCAAAACGATCCGATTCATCCACAGCAAGCAGGGACGCCTTGGCAGCGCCCGAGGAGAGGATCAGAAGGTGTTCAGCCATGGAGGATCTGAACAGAAGAACTCTCACGATGTTTTCCTCTCTAATCTTGTTGCTTTGGAGTCTGAAGCCCTAGGGCTCCTGTCCCATCTCCTCAGTTTCGGTGGTTAGACCTCCCAATCCCACCCCAATCATCTTCTCAGGAGGTGGTTGGAGCCCTAGGGAAGTGTCATACGCTATTCACATCAATCTTCGTCTTCTGACAGGTGCCACGCCATTTTGCTTGCCACAGACCAGACATCTAACAACGTGGCTGCGGGCCCATCATTTTTACATTTATGGGAACATCAGGAGCAGTTTCATGGGCTCGCTTCTGCGCTTATTGGATCGGAGGCTGTGTTGCTGAAGATGAAGATGGTATTCATTTCATCTGAGCTTGGTGTGACTGCTGCTGTCTCCGTGGACGAGGTGTTGCAAGTTTCAACAAAAGAAGATCGAAATTCGGCATGTCAGCCAGTCGGCTCACAAATGACTAGAAATGGTCAGAACTAGAGTGAGAGCACTGATGTTCAGGGCGACTGATCAACAAGTGCGCGATTGCAAGTCTGTCCGTCGCATCCTGACCGATGTAACGAACTCCAGCGCGGGCGCGCGCCTCGGGCCGCGAGTGATGGGTTTGAAGCCCAGGAAGGTGGGCGTGGCTTCCAACCAACTGACAGCGCGGACGATGGCGGAGGTTTGGCGGGGAAAACCCTGGGAACCTGGGCACCTGGCGGCCATGCCCGCATGTAAAGGGTGTTGGGGGAAGGTTTCCTTGGTTGGACAAACAAGGATATGCAGCCGTTTTTCAGCCGGCAAGGCCAGCCCTCACTAAGAACTTGCAACCACAGCGTCGACATCCGCAACCTCATGGACTGGATGCAGTCAGTCAGGCTTAAATTGATGTCCTGCTTGGGAACAATAGACGGGGCGGTTTTGGTATCATATACCTATTGGGATGCATACTTGAGGGTATCCCCGGGATCCCCTCCATTAAATAAACCAACAACCAACCAATAGTTAAAGGGCAACTATGGTCAAGACTGCAGTCGTCAAGGCTGCCAGATCACTAGTCCCTGTCAGGCTGGCACTTGTTTACCCCGTCCATTTGCCAGTCTGTACTCGTCCCAAAGAAGAAGAAGAAGAAGAAGAAGTTGCCATCCCTTGCTCAATTGTTCGTCTGGAAAATCCAGCTTAAAACCGCCACTACTACGCAGTACTCCTTGTAGAGTACCCCCTTTCAGAAATACACGTTGCATGATCATCTGGGCATCTTCCACCTACCTTTTGAAGCCATCTCCCATTGAGGCCGAGAATCATGTGCCCCACCCCCATGTTCGCATCATCCCACCTCACCCTCCTCCATCCTCCCCACCCTAAACCCTTCGAGTTCCGGCTCAGGAGGCTAGGCACTAGTCACAGAGTGCCACCGCACCCATGAGGCAGAAACCCAAAACCGACGTCCAGGTCAAGGGCCGGTAGTCGGGACCCATCGACATGTCCTCGGAGCGTGCCGACGGCCGACCTGGACAGCACGCGACGATGCGGTGCTCCGAGCAGTCGCGCGGAGCGATCAAAACACGGCCCTTTGGGGTTTATTGGGTTATCTTCTTTTGAGTTGGCACTATAACAAGAACTATATAAATACTATAATGGCTGTTTCTTGAAGCAGAAAACATGGGGCCCGCAACTCCAAGGCCTTTTCCCAGGCCGTGCCGCTTGCCCAACGTGACGTGGGGTGGATCCCAGGGTGGGATGGACCTCCTGCTGGTTCAGCAGTGGATCCCAGCAATACCACAGAGCTGATGGTATCTCCGATGCGGTTCTCCTGCTTCTTCATGCTGAAAAGGAGGGAGACCGAAGTGGTCTCTCCACCCAGGGAGTCTTCAATGCACATCATAGCTTTCTGGCCCCCCGGGGCTCCAAAAAGCCACACAGGACACGTCGGTGAACCTCCGGGCTAGCAGGAACCAGCTGAGTCACTCGGAGCCACTGTCTTCAGCAGGGGAATCCCCCTGACTGTAGACTCTTGATGATCAACCCCCCAAGCCTCTTTAGAGCTCTTACAATCCCCTGAGATTGTCTGAGGGGAAGGTTCTGAGGCGGTGTCACACACGGACCCCCAAGCCGAAACTCGATCGGAAAGGAGTTCGGTGCAACGAACAAACTCCATCTGTTCCATTCCGGAACATGAACTCTCAACACATTCCTGTCCATCCCTATGTGCCTTGGGCCAAGACTACCCCAGGCAGAACAGACTTTTTGGCCCCTAAAGGTTTTGCAGGTGATCCATGTGCTTCGGTACCAGCACCTTGAACGGCCTGTCACCTGGCGAACTCCACACGCGTTACGCGATCCACATCGCCCCGGTACACCCGTCCAGCGGCATAGCCCACGGAGGTGTTGGGAAAGACCTGGTCACGGTGCAGAAGTCGCACGACGCACCCAGGAGATGGGCCAAGTTTGCATGGAAAAAACAGAGATTTGATTTGAAACTACAGCTTCGAAAAGACATTTGAACCTTCAGCTTTCGAATTTGAAACATGAGGGTAACTCACAGAGTAGCGGTCAAGACTCTTTCTTTTTCCGCTTTGAGCGCCGTGTTGCTTCCGTATACCAAAGGAAATGCCCTTAGCAAATTCAAAAGCACTCATGTTTTTGCCTTTTGCCAAATGAAACTATAATTTATTGTGTGTTGCTTGTTATTCCGATGTATATAATGTTCAAGCACAATGTATGTATGATAGTCAGTTGGATTTCGACCTGTTCATAATCAGTCAATCAACTGTTGTGAGTTGTAAGGCAACTAGCAAATCTGAACTGCTCTGCTCATGGAATCTGGAATGAATGAAAGGAAAAACAAGTAAATTGGATGATGGGACCAAGGGGATGGACGAATGGACGAATGGACGAATGGATGAATGGGTGGATGGGTGGATGTAGGATGCAGCATGAAATGAAATGAAATGAAATGAATGAATGAACCAGGTCGGTACGTTGGCAGGTGGATCCATGGGGTAGTTGCTTCGTTGGTTCTCCGGGGTGGTCGTCCGTTCCTTCGAGGCCGTGCCAAAAAAGGACACTTTCGGTGAACGCAGGTGCACAAGTCACTGCAGATGTCTGCACAAGTCACTGCATATTCCAACCAAAAAGCCGCACCTGTCCAAACACGAAAAAGTCTTCCCGCCTGCCACAAGTTCCAAGTGAGGGCCAGCGCCAGAGCAACGGCGACGGTGAAAATATTGAAGATTCTTGGTCCGTTGCGTGCGTCCCGTTTCAGAACCCCTGCCATTCGATGGACGAAGCGACCATGGCGCTTGATCACTTGGTGTCGTTGAGAATGGTCCGATATTCTGGGTGTGTATTGACCTCCTGTCCCATCTCCTCAGGTTCGGTGGTATTCGACCCCCCAAGACCTCCCACCCCTGGCCCATCGAACTGATTGCCGGAGGTGGGCCAGGAACCCAAACGGGTGAAATAGGGAGACCACCTGGCCCTGGGACTGGGGTAGACTGGTCGACCTCTTCCGAACTGCACCCAAAACGCCGATTCGGGGTCGGTCTCCCAACATCCAAATACACACCCATCTAACCTGGAAAGGGCTCTGCACACTGTGGGCCCAAGATGCTTTATTTTGAAAGACCTGACTACCTGACCCAACCTACAGAGGTTAAGTGACCTGAACTAGGACCCGTCACCAGGGGTACCTATAGGATAGTGTATGGGGTTCTTCAACCTCTGCTGGAAGGTTCTGAACCATCCCGAGACGCTGCAAGTCTCGCATGGGCGCGTCACACCTGAGGCGCGACCTGTCTGGACCCTCAAAAGGAAAGGGGCCGGACCCGGTTTTCCTCGGGTCGGGGGTCGAATCCGAACCCGGCAACGGGGCGGGGCTTTCGTACGGACCAGCCACACCGGACCAGCCAAGCTGACGCTTTCGTTGGATTCGTTCAGGGGAAAGAGTCCGAAAAACATGTCCTTATCTTTATGCCATGGAGTGGAAATCCACCGAAGGTTCCAGCTTTGCGCTGGTGGAGCGCAACAAGCACCCCATACCGGAACACAAAAATCATAGAAAATCCTTAACAAGGTACAAAGAAAAACCGGTGGTCCAGTGGTCCTGTGGGGAAGATTAGGCGACACTTCCATGTTGAGTTTTGTGCATTCCAGCTGTAACTGTAAACTCAAGAAGCCCTTTCCCGCCACAAATTTGTGTGGATCCGGTTTTGTACCAACCTCTTGCCCTTGGCTGCCACCGATTGATCTGTCCAAGACATTAATCATGCAGTGACTGGGATCTGGCATCAGATTGAGAGCGCTTGAAGTCTGAAGCACTAGATCAATAGCTCTTGTTCTATACCTCCAGGATTCCAGCCAACATTAAATGGTTCTCACCGAACAACCATTGGGTTTCACTCTACAAAAGCAGGTAAACTGAAGATACCCTTTCATCGCCATCCTAAGGGTTGCATGGTCGAGACGTGGCCCAGCAATCCACTTGATATACTGTAGAACATTCTCATTGCTTCAGCTTGACTCTATTCAGTATTGCTTTCTTGAAACTGTCGACAGGGGACCTGACCTTCGCCTGACCTTCGCGAGATAGAACAGACTACAACGACATGGTCAACCTACCAGCGGTTTTTTCACCCCCAGCCGGGCAGGAAGCGCCCCACTTGTGAGTCATCCGGTGCGACTGGAACCAGCTCAGGCCGTGCGGCGGAGAACAGTGACGACGGGCAGAGCAGCTGACGGTTGCACGAAGAAGAGCTTTGACATGCTACCCGAAACCTGAAACCATCGGAAGTGGACTCATGTTGCTGTTTGTAACGGAACATGGTCTTTCGTAAAGGGTCCAAGTCCACTTCGATTCTTTCAGGTTTCGGGTCCATCCACCGTGCTCCGCCCGACCGGTCCACGCCGTGCTCCACCGTGACGAGGCGAAGACCGCGCCACCCAAAGAAGCACCAGTTTCGGGTCGGCGGTTTTCGGGTCGGCGGTTTTCGTGGCGGTTCCGTGGCGTCGAAGCGTGACATGTCGTGGGTTTCGTTTCGTTCAGTCTAGGCACGTGAGGATCAAGGCAAAGAGGATGGGCAGCCGCTGCATCATGAATTCGAACAAGCCACGGCCTGGCGAGTCGACCGAGTCGACACGGGTAGATCGACGTCGGTCGAAGGTCGGTCGAAGGTCGGTCTTCCGGTCTGGAGAGCCCTGAAGTGAAGGGTCAGTCTACTTGGCAGTGAAGGGTTGACTCGGGTGGACTCGCAAAAATCACCTAGAGAGCACAGAGATCTGATCTCTTTTTGGAAGATGAAAGGACCATATTTGGGGGGCGTGGTTGGGGATCCAAGATAGAGGTCAGGTTCCGGTTCCAGTCAGTGAAAAAGCATCAACTTTACACGCCCCGTTGCGGACTCAAAGAAGCAGAACCCGTTGCACGAGGCCCAAAACGATCAGAACTCGTGCAATGATGTCTTACCCAAGACAAGGGTGTTATTTTTTTCTGGAATACAGCAAGTCATCAAGCTAGTTGGATCAAACTCTGCCAAGATGTGGTTATGAACTCCTGGGAAGTATGCATCAAGCGGTATGCAAGTGGTGAAAACACTTGTGCCGGCAAATCCACTGTGCCTGTGAATCACTCTTGCAATAAAAAACAAACTTGCATCTATAAGGGAAGAAATCATCTGTGAAGGTTATCGGCACTATACAATTTAAGTGGTCAAAAGAAGCTGCATCAAAAAAGACCAGTGACTGGAAATCCCTAATAGCATTGACATGTACAGATAATAGATGACAGACAAAAGTCATGGTTCCTAAGAGGAATCAATGACGGCGGGTATAGACTAGTCTAAGGAAGTCTGACATGTCCAAAACGGATCATGCTGATTAGTAGCTACAAAAAACACAGGCTGCCTCAGAACAAAAATTGGAGCAGCTGTATCGCTGTATCCCCGCCCTCCAGAGAGTTGGGTGAAATCAGGTGGACGTGTCAAAGAATGTCTGCAAAATGACCTTTGAAAGAAGGAATACTCTCCCTGCAACGACCACATGGTTGGAAAACCTCGCAATGTGTTTGTAGTGGAAAATGATCTTCTAGGAGGCCATTTTCCACGTCCATGTTAGTTCCAGGAGTGTAAACACCATAAAATCCTGAACTCAATCGATGCACTGGCCTTCTTGCCCCAGCTTGATGTACTTGAACTCATCCGGGTTCCCAAACCTGGCAGAAGAATCGACCCGTGAAACCTCGTCGGGTCTCGTGGTTCGCGGCTCTTTCATGTTGAGAATTGGTTCCCAGGAGGATGAGTTATCCAAACAGGACGGCTGGAGATGTTCCCGATCCTTGGAATGACTGATGAGGTACAGTATAAAAACATGCCCACTATTGGAATGACCAGGGTGATCCTTGGAATGAGCAGGATAATTGTATTGGATGTTCTTCACCCACAAGATGGCGGAGAATGATATGTCCTATGTCCACGGGACGGGTGCCTCGAACAGTCCAGATGTCGTCGTCTGGCATAGAATGAATGCGGAACGGATCGAAACCAGCTGCAAAGCAGCCAAATCCAAATGTTCCTTCTTCCATCTAAGTAGGATGAGAAACACAATAGAATCTTAAAATCTCAATTTGTGCCCAAGCTCGGCAGTTGCTCGATCTGCGCTCGCGGCCCACTCCGGGGGTCCATCCCATCTCCAACCACTTCTCTGTGAAACCACCGACACCAACGCCAGCCGTTGCGAGGGTCCTATGAGTCGTCCTATGGTAGGCACATGCAGACCAATACTATCCCAGATGGATTTCTAAGGTGCAAAGAAGGTGTCCATCCACCAAAACCATTATAGTGCTTGATATTCACCCATGAAGACAACCACATGTGTTTTCTGACGGAAACATCGCCAAACATGCCGAGCAGCACTTGTTCATAGATAGATCTTGCATGATCTTGCCATATCTTGCCCATATCTGTGATTGATGTGACCATTGATATTCAGAAGATATTGACATCATGTCGTCACCAAATACTACAAGTTAAACATGTTGACCAGCTGATCTCGCCCAACCCGCCTCGTTTCGCGCCCCCACCCCGTGGTTCGCCCCCACCTCGTGGAATAGCTCACCCCAACCACGTCCGAGCGTCGGAAGACGCGAGACTCCTGGAGGTGGTGATCTGCACACAGCGCGCAACACCAACTCCCATGATATTTGCCGATCAGTTGGGGTGGTTGACCTGGGGTCAATGGTCGCCAGTCCCACACCAACTGGAGCGTCAACTGGTTGCAGATCGACCCCTCACAGCGCTGACGAACCCACAGATCTGTCGAACACGAAGCAAGCAGACGGCGCGACGGCGCGACGGTGCGACGGATCACAGTCTGGCGCTGGGATCTGTCAAGGAACCGTGTTGTGTTTAGCCAGGCCGCGTACGGCCTGGAAAGGGCGCCCAAACCAGTCAATTGCTTGGGTCAACAGGAGGTCCGAGAAGGACGCAGGGCAAGTGCCATGAAAACAGAAGTGCGAGAGCTGGTGCTGTTGGCTTTCATCAAACAGGTGGTGCTGTGAATTGTGAAATAGGGCCAAGCCACGAAAGCACACATCACCAGGTGAAAGCAGACTCGACCTCGTTGCTCGTTGCTCGTGGAGATGTTCGAGCTTCGAGCTTCGTCCCGGGCAGGGCCCAGGGCCCGCTTTGGGCAATGGTACCACTGGCAGGGACTGGAGTGGTATGGCCCCCTAGGCCGTCAATCGCGTGTGGCATCGCGGGTCGCAGGTCAAGGCCGCCCGATCTGGGCTGACGATCACATCGGATGAGACACCTAAAAGGAACATCCCAAAGGCACCGTCCAACGTTTTGGTGTTGGGGGCGCCCAACCGCCGCTGGACCGGCGACCTTCCGTCAGCTCGCCGGCCGGAGGCCCGGTCGGTGGATCCGTACGAGACCCGATGGAATCCCTGTCTGGGACTGGCAATGCTCCCATACATTGACCCCAGGTCAACCTCCCCAAATGTCGGTAAATATGAGATGGCATGGAGTGTTTGGGATAGGCTTTGCTTTCTGTTCGGTACGATCCTCGCCCAAGAACAACCTCGCCCAAGATCTTTTGGTGTCCAGACCACGGCCGCCACGCCCACACAGGGGTGCGGCCATCCACGGTCGGTCACTGGTGGTCCACAGCTCTGGGGAGTGAGGGTCTGCAGGTGGACTAAGAACCACTGCGCCAGCTGTGAGAACCATGAACTCCTCCCAGCTACTCCAAAAGCCAAGCCATCCACCATCCACCCTTGACTCACCCATCCGAATCCTGCCCCGAACACAAATACACTCTGACGTACGAAGTACGAATGAACACGTCACATGGTGACGTGGATGGCAATTTTTCCCTTAAGAGGAAGACTCTGTATACCAGCACCCTCCAACAGGTCTCCGTTGCATGGAGGGTTGGGAAGGGCCCTGTCTCAGGTTTCAATTGGTGACCTGTTGGCCGTCGGTGCTGGTATACTTTCCTTTACGTGACCATCCACATCACCATGTCACTCACGTAACCCTCGGAGTGTCAAATGGCCGACCGACGCCGGTCCTCGTCGCGGCACCAGGTCACATGGCCCTTCTTGTCCACCGTCACGTGTTCCGCGATGCGTCGGCCTCCGTGCGGTCGAGGATATCGGCTCGGGTGAGCGGGTGGAAGACCAACGAAGTGAGATCTCCCGAGTTGACCAACCAGGTATGTACAAAATGGAAGGTGTACTGTGCAAATGTAACACTATAGGCGGAGAATCCACCTTCTACGCGAAAGATGATAACCCTATAGGCTATCCATGGAAGAGGCGAGTTGCACAGTGGAGAGTAACTAGACGGCATCACAAGCATGTAATTCAAGGCCGAATAGCAATGGTGGAGATATCACTGTTAGCACGCAAGTATCTTCGAAGCTTATCTTGCAGTTCGGTACAGGTCTTAAAAACTATGTTCCGTATAGTGAGAGATAGTGAGAGGGTTTAAGCACAGGGCAACATGCTGGCATGGGGGGGGCCAGTTCGAACAGAAGGGTGGAGTGCAATCCAATTCTGGATATATTGGACAATATCCATAGTTTTTTCACCATGACTCATGGTGATGAAAAGACCTCAGGTAGGAACAGTTCGGAGTGTCATGTCGTTTTGAAAAAGAGGTGAGTCTGATGTTGGGGTTCCCCACCTGAGAATAGCAGAAAGAAGAGGAAGATCTATGTACGACTTGTGGTCATCTGCCCTCGAGCACCCGGTCTCCGATCAAGCCCAGGTTCCCTGGCTTCATGGGTTCTGTTCCCAGAAGTGCAGAAGTGCAGAGCCCCAAGGGGTCATCACAGGGAGTGACCGAATTGACACCTGACCGTTCATTAGCAGTTGGTTGACATCCATAGTGATCTTTGAGCCAAGAATGCAGAATGGAAATACAGTAAGAACCATGCCAAAACATGCCAAAACTGCAGAGGAACCTGTCACAGGCCATGGTCACAAGCCCCCTTTTGCCTCCGACTTTGAGAAGAGCCGACCTGTCGAACACCCGAACGCTGAAACGAACGATGCCCTCCCCTCCCTCCACGCTGCCCTCCCTCTGCCCCTCCCTCCTCCCTCTGCCCTCAGAACGCTTCATTCGACCCGAGCCCTCGGCCTGCCAGATCGGAATGCTCGAAGTAGAAGTTGGCCACGTGATCCTGTGAGTCGCCGGTCCGCGGGCCGCGAACGCGAAGTGAACGACCTGAACGACCAGATCGCCCTGGTCCGCGAGACGAACAATGAAGGTCTGAATCAAGCTTTGGATCAGGCCGTTGTCTCAAGGAAAAACCTGACAGGGCCCCACCAACTCTCCCGACCCAATGCTACTTAGTTGTGTCGGTTACATCCCTGTCAGAACTCTTGGCTCAGTCTTCCCGTCAGTGGTGCTTTGTATAGGGACTGGTCGACTGAGGATTTGAGCCAAGAGTTGTGAGGGGGCTATATGTGCGCGCCTTTCTAGCAAGTTGCACACGGGTATCACGGGTACAACCTCACAGAAAATGGCCACGGGGAAGACCATGAAATTTCGAATACCAAACAGCTGGTGCACTCGGTTCACCATGTAACAAAAGTGGCTGTGAGTCAGAGGTTATCTCCAGTTGATGTGGAGAAGTGGAAAAGCTTTCTGAAAGAATCTGGAAAGCAAGAGAGGAGAGCAAGTCCTGCGAAGTGTCTAAGTCTTCTTGAAGGAAGCTGCCCCTTTTCTCTCGCTAAAAGCCCACCTCAAGTCTACAATGCGTCATATCCCTAGGATTCCAAAGGACAAATCACCCTAGTACAGTCCACTGACCCTGTACAGTCGCCCAACTGCCAAATACAGTGGAGGAAGACCCATTTATCTAATATCCACTACCAGGACCCTCCTGGCCAGGCTGTTTTGGGAGCCTAACAGGTGGTGAACCTGGGTACCTGTTGCCACCAGGAAACACCTGTTGGAAGGGTCCAGGTATAGGTTACAAGTCACCCAATGTCACCAGTCGACCGCTCCTTCAGCCGGTCGATCGGGTCGCTCCCGGGCCTTCTTCACCGGAGAGGCCATTGATGAACAGCACCGCTTCTTCCAACCCACAGCGGTTCGTTCGGAGCCCCGGTTCGGAGCGGAACTGAACCGGACCGGACGTCCGCCGGGGCACGGAGGCAAAGGCCAAAGCGAAATCTTTGTGTTTTTGTTGGGATGTTCGATGGTCGAGTTTCGAGTGTTCTCTTGGAGGAACAGAAGTGAGACGGGCTTCTGATAGGACGGTGTGTTTTTCGACCAAGTTTCAAAGACGTGACTTCCTGAGAAGATGCGACCAAGTTCGACCTCAGTTCGGCTTTCTTCCAGCTGAGCTCCTCTGACAAGGTCCCATCTGCCAGTTCATGTGCTACACTTGGCCACGGGGTGAAGCGCTCTAACCGTTCCTCTTCCTTCGCCGAGTTCGCTCACAGTTCGCCTTCCGGGTTCCGGAACAGCGTAGTCGTCCCCCTTCGTAGCGTCTGGAGGATGGGATAGGATGGATGGGAGGATGATGGATGGGTGGTCGTCTGCAGGCGGTGTCTGATTGCCACTTCTCAAGCTACGAGCCGAGAGCCGCAGTCGCGCGAAGGTCGGCCCTTCTCCAGAGTCGAGTCCCATGGATGGTCGGGGATGGAAGAACAGTGGAGTCCGAGGTTCTCTGTGATGTCAACGTGGAACCGTAACCAGTTCTAAAAACACTCGGAGTGATCCTGGTTCTATGGATGGCATGGCCCCGTATTTGTACGACTCGGATGACCCCTGCAAATCCGAATACCAAACCGGTGGCGCCCTCCACTTCTGATTCTTTCACGTTTGTGAGCTCGTCATACCTTCTGCCCAAGTCTGGTAGCCCCAGATGTCTCAAGGAAGCTTCGGTCATTGGGGGAAAGCAGCAACCGCATTGGAGATCCGTGGAACCTCCTGAGACACGTTTTTTCGTTACACAGATCAGGGAAAAACAAGCTGAGCCAGAGAAGATTGAACAATTAAGTATCAGCACGTATTATCACGTCTGATAGTCTGCCAATGTGCCTACGAGTTTCTTTCAAGAATTTTCGACTTGCCTGATCGTTTTGCTCACCCCATCTTGTCACCCCAAAAAAAGCCCAATAACGCTTGACGACCATCTTCGACCCACCTCTCAACCGTCTCACTTTCCCCCGATGTTTCTTTTCGTCGGTTGCAGGATGTGCAAAAGGTCACCACCCCATAGAGATCGTCGACTTCGTGTCGTCCAATGGGCGCCCATCGGTCACAACTTCGTCTGGACCATCGTAGACTCATGCAGACTCTTGATTGAGTAGTTCACCTCTCCAACAAGTCTAAGTCTGCGGGAGTTGTGGGTGATCAGAGGCGACATGCTGTGCGCACTATCATATGGATCCAAGTAAAACAGGGAGAGGTTGTTCCCTGTTGCAACCAGATTCATATTCCTCCCCTATGGATCCTTCTGTGCTCTGGGTCACCTTGACTCGACGGCTCCCCAGGGATTCACCGGTGTGACCGTAAATATAACGCCTTCCGCGCGCTCCAAACGAAGGTGCCGGCTCGTGGTGTCGGTGTGCGCAAAACATCTGACCGCAGAACATTCAAGAAATGGAAGAAAAGTGTGACATTTTAGAAGATCGAGTGGAGATTTATTTGGTCTATTTGATTGACACCCTAGTTCGCGACTCGCCAGGCTCCAGAGAGGCGCGACTCGCCAGCGTTCAGCGTTACATCCTCACGCTACCCCAGCAGTGCCAACTCAAACATCCATGGAACATGGCCCAAAATCAATGCTGCTGAGTTCCAAATCTGTCGAGTTGGGCGCCCAAAACGATGGCGCCCCACACCCCCCGTTCACGTTCACAGCGTCCTCCGCTCCCGTCGAAGCTCCCGTCGAAGCTCCTCCTCCCATTTCCGCCTGCGGCCGACGTCCCGTCGCTCGACCTGTGCAGCGCAAGGCAGGCGCCACGGGCGGCGGCGCCGAATGGTGGAGACAGCAACAAGCTTTACAACAGCAACGTTCGGTTTGGACTCTTTGCAGGTTTGGACTCCGAACCCGACACCGTGAAGCCCGGTGGTGTTGTGGGGCACACCGAAAATGTCTCCTCCCCTTGTGGTCGAGGCTATGGACATAGACACCTCGAACAGAGGGTCCTGATAGTAAGTGAGTATGAATAACTTCGGTTATATGATACCTACATATACCTACTATATTTTCTGTAACTAAGCTATAAGTAATGTGTATATAATAACATAGTAATTACCTAGAGTCATGACCCCTGGTTTGATAGGAAGTTTGACAATTTTTGGGATGGTTGGTGGTCCAACACAGGGGGCACTCAGGTTCTATAGGTATAGATGGGTTTAGATGTATCCTCCCGCCAAACAATAAAGGAACAAAGGAACCACGTCCCGTGAGGCTGCTCCAATTGAAATCAGAGTGGCCACCGTGCTACACCTTTTTCTGGAGCCCTACGTAGTCCGGTCATGCGTATAAATAGGGGCCTGCATTGGAACAGGGAGACCTCCCTGGCAACGACTTCCTGGAAGGTTCGGGAAATAGACCAAAACCCATTGGGCCAGGAGTCTAAACCCATTGGGCCAGGAGTCTCCCTATTGAAATACAACCATCGCCTTCAATTGGACAATCTGCCACTTGGCTGTCAAAACTCGGACACCCTGGTCGACCACCGAAAATGAACAGAATAGACTGGGGCCCGGTCAACCTACCAGGGATCTGTAGGGGTCCTGCCATGACCCATGACCCACAACCACAGAACAACTTCTCGGGGCTCCAAGAGAAGGCAGTTAGACCCCCCAATCCCACCCCAACCATCTTCTCAGGAGGTGGTTGGAGCCCAAACGGGTTCTATCAGTTATTCCCTGACCCAAAAAACAGTTCCTACCAGCCTTTTTGGGGGTCAGGTTGCCCTGACTCGCCCAAGTGGCTTCACATCAATGTTCACCTGTGCTTTGATGAGCTCCTGGCCGTGCGATGTGCGCCACCGGTCGTCCAAAACCACGGACCACGCGAGCTTGAGACGCCGATAAGCCGATGCGCAAGAGACGAACGGAGTGGAGCAGACTACGCGACCTGTATTCGACGGAAGGAAGTCAGCTCTATGGAACATGCGGAAGGAAGGAAGGAAGGAAGGAAGGAAGGAAGGACATATGCAGAAGTCGACTGCGGGTATTTGGAAGGTGTTTTTGATGGCCTGTCCTCGATCTCCACGGGCGTTGAACTCACGTGCTCGGGATCGACACAGCTCGCATCCGAAGGAACGACGATGTGCGGCTGGGTTTGGAAGAAGTTGGGCCATCTTGGATGGTTGGTATTAATCCCGTCAGGGTCACTGAGGTTGGTACTCCCTGATGAAAGAACCGATGTTTTTCTATGGTGGACTGGTTAAACTCACGAAAACACATGGAAGTGGAAAACCCGCCCATGTCCCATTGTTCTTCCAGGCGCCATGCCATCCACTTCCAACTTGTATGTCAGAATTTATCCAATGAGTGAAATATACCAGGACCCTCCAAGGGGTGCCCAATGGACGCCTATAGGTAGTGTGGGGTAGTCCATTGGACACCCCTTGGAGGGTCCAGGTATATGACTGTGTGAGCGACTATACTGTGGCGACCTTTCAACCCACACATCTCAACACGCACAATGTGCACCCCCGCACAGAAGAGGGCAAACGAGTCAGACCCCTCCTCCACCAAGATCACGGCTCCCGCGGCTGAAGCATAATGGAGTGCAGTCATGCCTGGTCGAAGGTACACGCTGCGGGAGGAGTTGGGATGCGAGGTTGAGGAGAACTGTGTGTCGATCCGCAGGAAAGATGGAAGACAGACATGAGCCAACCACTTCGCCCAAAGCTTTTTCTGCGCATAAAGTTCTTTCCAGTGCAGCTTGCCAAAATTCTTACAGCACAAACGTCTGTGCCCGGAAGATGGGTCCACGTTTTCAGTCCAGATGGATTTTGGAACGGATCGAGAACCTGGAAACTTGAGCTACTGTGCAGAAAAGTAGACCCTGAAATAATCATGGAAGTGGATGGGAAAATGTCCCCTCGCAAGACTGACCATGGAATCCAAATACCAAGCAGGTGGTGCACTCCACTCCCTTAGTGACTAGGAGTGCAGACTGGGGTGGATGGTATGGCGAAAAGGAAGACCGGTTTACGGTGGTGAACTCCGATTCCATGATCTTCAGGGTCTGAAGCTGGTGAAGCCCTAGCCTTCGCCCTAGCCGCTAGGCTTCATGCAGAAAATGAAAATTGTTCTGAACTCTTTGTCACATCACATGGAAATGGGAGGATTCACCGCCGCTCAAACACTCAGCGTAACCCCAAGCAGAAACGAAGGAACTAGATGGAACTACATAGTAACTCCACCTCATGCTTGGTGACTCTCAGCAGTTCTTATGGGCTATGGGCTTGAAGGATACGCAATCTGGGCAAGGATTGCCTTGAAGCAGCATACCCACTATTGCCAGGATTCAGTACAGAGAATGTCTTGCCATCACCACAAAGCCGACATCTAAGGATGCAGCTGCCCGGTAAATGGTGGAATTAAGCTGCCCCAAAGTGGCACACTTACAATCATGTGCTAGTTGGTCTGCCCCTAGCACCTGCCAACAACACCAAGTGTGAAACGTGTATGTGTGTGTGTGAGAGAGAGAGAGAGTGTGATGAGATCCAACAAATCTTCCAAAGTCTTCCACCAAGCGTGCTTCAAACTCCAGAGCAGAGACCAGCGATTTCACCCAGCACCTGGACCCTCCAACAGCTGTTTCCTGGTGGCAACAACTGCCCAGGTTCACCACCTGTTAGGCTCCCAAAACAGCCTGGCCAGGAGGGTCCTGGTACTGGTGTCTTCGCTGGCAACTGCCCAGGTTCACCACCTGTGCTCCCAAAACAGCTTGTCGATCCCCCACACCCGTTCGTCAGCTCCGCCTCGTTCGTCCTGGGAATCGACGTCCCCCAGCGCCGCGGCGCGGCGCAGCGCGTTGGTCTCGGAGCGATGGCGCGGGGGAAGCAAGGCTCATTGGAGCCTGGTGGCCTGTGCACCAGGGACTATTGGGGAATGTGTCAATGAAGCAGAGCGTGGCTAGGTGAAGGAAGAAATCGATGGTCGAACCCGTATCGACCGATCCGAAACGGGCTGCAACAGGCAC